GCAGGCTGGAGTGCAATGGCTCAATCTCAGCTCACTGCAACCTCCACCTCCTGGCTTCAAGCAATTCTCATGCCTCAGCCTCCTGGGTAGCTGGGGTTACAGGCACCCGCCACCATGTCTGGCTAATTTTTGTATTTTAGTGGAGATGGGGTTTCACCATGTTGGCCAGGCTTGTCTGGAACTCCTGACCTCAAGTGAACCTCCTGCCTTGGCCTCCCAAAGTGCTAAGATTACAGGCATGAGCCAACGTGCCCAGCCAATATTTTGATTTGTTAATGAAAATTTCTAGTTAAAAACTTCTGTGTGCCAGGCATGATGGCTTGTGCCTGTAATTGCAACACTTTGGGAGGCCAAGATGGGAGGGTCACTTACAGCCAGGAGTTTGAAACCAGCCTGGGCAAAAAAGTGAGACTCCGTTTCTACAAAAATTAAAATTGAAATCCTCAGGCATGGTGGTGCACACCTGTAGTCCCAGCTACTCGGGAGGCTGAGGTGGGAGGATCACTTGAACTGAGGAGTTGGAAGCTGCAGGGAGCCGTGATTGCACACCACTGCACTCCAGCCCGGGCGACAAAGAGAGACCTTGTCTCAAACAAATAAACAAAAAACAAACTTCTGTGGTTTTGCAGGACATCAGCCAGATGACACAGTGAGAAACATCAGCCTTTTCCCTCTGCAAAAATAAAAATCAGACAACTCTCTGCAAATAAACATAGCCCGGGGAGGGCTCAAAAGTCCAATTAAGAAAGGGGAGCCATACATCTAACAATAAAAGGAAAATAACTGCGTACAAAATATTATTGGAGAGGTCTACAAACTTGAGCTGTCTGGAGACAGCTAGGAACAAGAAGAGGGAGGCTATCAATATCAGACAGACAGTGGGTACCACCTTGATCCTGAATGGTCTGCCCCACAGAAGAATCTGGCAGCCTTTTCTACTGAAGATCTTAACAGCTCAGTGGCAGCTGAAGACTCCCTGCATCTTTCACGCAGAGGACTCCCTAGCGTTTATGAGCACAAACCCAGTGGCCTGCCCCACACAGAATTCCAGGCATTTTGCTACCGAGCTAAACCAACGGCCATTGCTGCCACAGGAACCTTGGAGAGGAAAACACTGCATATTATCCCTCTACAAAGAAGGAGAAACTGTTGTGCTGCCACAGAAATGGGACTGTCACCGATCCCCCTTGGTTTAACATAGAGATTGGGATCCTAGCCAACATGGTGAAACCCTGTCTCTACTAAAATACAAAAAATTAGCTGAGTGTGGTGGCATGTGCCTGTAGTCCCAGCTACTCGGGAGGCTGAGGCAGGAGAATGGCGTGAACCCAGGAGGCAGAGCTTGCAGTGAGCCGAGATCGCGCCACTGCACTCCAGCCTGGGCAACAGAGCGAGACTCCCTCTCAAACAAACAAACAAAAAAAGATATTTATCATTATCTGAGGCCTCTTCAAGTGGAGAATAAAAGCTGAAAGCAGCAAGACACAGCAAAGTTGCACTTCTAAGACAAGAATCTGAGAAGTTTTCAAAAAGTAGCATATTATAGAATCAAAATAAAAACTACTTGTAATTTTATTAAGAACAAATAAATATTTTAAGGAAGCCTTGTTCTAACATAAAGGGCCAGTGTTAACCTTTTTACATCTCTCTCTCCTGTTTACAGCTTCCTTTTTACCTGGGTTCATAAATAACCCCTTCCAAGTCTATAATTTAAATGAATTTTCAGATAACTTTTGAATTAGACAATTTGTTTTTAAATACAAATGTATCTTTTTAGCATATTTTATATATAGGATTGTATAATAACTAGAATTTTTATTCTTAGTAACCTTAATTTTTACTGCAATACTTAGGAAGCAAGAAACCCTGAAATGTCTGTCAGATATTAGCATTTTGTAGGTTAGATGATCTTACAATTTTTTAAAGAAAACACGTTTCCCCATATCATAACTTTCTTAATTTGAAATGACCCAGACATGTTTGGATTAACATCCAAAACAATTTCAAGACTTTAAATTACACAAAAAGGTCACCTACAGTAATTACCTCATCTATATATTTTTTTAGCAGTTTATCTTTATCTAGATTATTTATGAGAACTGAGATATCAGACAAATATAGTCATTTTCTTCTTCACCATCCTTATAACCTGCACATATTAAGTGTTTACCCAAGTAAGGGGCTTAAAATTAACTACGTGCACATTATTGCTAATAACTCTGAAGATTCAGCTGCTTTTATTAAACCAGCCACATTAAATTAGACTTATTTCTCAAAAAAAATCCCACAAACACAGATCATTTTCCTCTTGGCTGGGTTTACAATCTTACAAACTTTTGTACCAAACTCTGACACCTTAAAATACCTGGCAGAGACAAATATAAAATCTAGGCAAAAATGTATGCCAAAAATTTGAAAAGCATTTTTATTTTACCAAGAATATTAAAGGCATCTTGTTTAGTAAAGATTTACTTACGTCAAATGAACTTTTTAAATGCTTGGACTTATTTACTTAATTTATGAGTGATCTTCTACTTATAAGTCAATTTGGTACCTTATATAAACAACACATAATATCCAGAAACATATACACACCTACAAAGATTCAGTACCTTTGACCTCAGAATTCTAGCCGTAAGGTAGCATTACAAACTCACCAGTTTATGAATATGTTCACATGACTAAACTCTCCTCAGTAGGCAATCTTGTGAAGGCTGGGAAACAAAATTTTGGGTAAAGCAGTTTCCATGGTAGTTTGATTTTTTAAGGCCAAACCTCCTCAGACTCCAAAGAAAACTGGGGCCAAATACACTAAAGAAGGACATCACATACTCACCAGGCCTGACGCTGTTGAGAACAGCAGCATCAAAGCCTGGATATGCAGAGCTCCACCTCACTTTCCTGTTCAGCAGCAAAATGAACCCAATCGTAACACAGCACGACATTTCAAAGACCCATGGAGAGTCCAGAACTTTCTGAACTGCAAAGAACACTTCGGCCAAACAGCATTACAAAAGAATATCACTTTCCTTTGTTCCACTGGCTCCTGATTATATTCAGGCTACTTTTGAAGAGTGTACCCAAGCAGGCTGCATTCTGGAATTGAATTCTGATTTCCCATGACTATATTCTCACACACACACACACAACACACACACACACACACACGCATGCAAACAACCATCAAAATAGAATATCTAACTGCAGTAGGGACTAACGATCCCCAAGAATGTGGTTTTCTAATTTACGCAAGCAGAAATCCAGCAAATGTGTAGGGGAATAGATATTAAGGGTGCGGCTCGGTCGCCGGGTCCCCTCGCCAGGTTCCCTCCGTCGCCGCCAAGATGATGTGCGGGGCGCCCTCCGCCGTGCAGCCGGCCACCGCCGAGACCCAGGACATTGCCGACCAGGTGAGGCCCCAGCTTGAAGAGAAGGAAAACAAGAAGTTCCCTGTATTTAAGGCCGTGTCGTTCAAGAGCCAGGTGGTGGCGGGGACAAACTACTTCATCAAGGTGCACGTTGGCGACGAGGACTTCGTACACCTGCGAGTGTTCAAATCTCTTCCTCACGAAAACAAGCCCTTGACCTTGTCTAACTACCAGAACAACGAAGCCAAGCACGACGAGCTGAGCTATTTCTGATCCTGACTTTGGACAGGACCCTTCAGCCAGAAGACTGATAATTAAAGTGATCCTCCGTGGACCAGAGCATGCACTTGTGATCCGAAAATAAGCTTCATCTCCGGGCTGTGCCCTCGGGGTGGAAGGGGCAGGATTCAGCAGCTGCTCTTGCATTTATCTTCCTAAATTTCATTGTGTTGATTTCTTTCCTTCCCAATCAGTGATCTTAATTACTTTCAAAATATTTTCAAAATAGATATATTTTTAAAATCCTTAAAAAAAGGGTGTGGCTCAATAAGGGAAGAAATATAAAGTTGAATCTGTATTAATTTATTAATACAGGCTCACTAAGCAGAAATTCTGCACTTATCATTGCAGCTCAGGGAGTTAGAAAGAGCTCTAACTGGTGGGTTGGTTGGCTAAAATATGGCTCAAAGACGGACCTCTGTGAGCAAGCTGGAAATGCTGGATCCCCCTTGGTTTAACATAGAGATTGGGATCCTAGCCAACATGGTGAAACCCTGTCTCTACTAAAATACAAAAAATTAGCTGAGTGTGGTGGCATGTGCCTGTAGTCCCAGCTACTCGGGAGGCTGAGGCAGGGGAATCGTTTGAACCCTGGAGGAGGAAATTGCAGTGAGGTGAGATCTCGCTACTACACTCTAGCCTGGTGACACAGTGAGACTCCATCTCAAAAAAAAAAATAGTCCAGGTCAATCTATAGTGTTAGAAACCAACATAAAAGGAGGTAACAATTTTAGTGATTGGAAGGGGACTCCTTTGGGCTGTTAATTATGATAATTATGTTTATAATTCATTAAATATCATATGATTGCATGTGTGTATTCAATTTGTGAGTATTTATAAAGCTGTGTGCTTATTACTTGAGAATAAATGTTTGTATATATGTTATGCTTCATAGAAAGTTTGTATTAAACATTTGTGAGAGGAATAATGGGTAATTGGGTGATGTGTTTCTGCAATGAAAAAAAGTAGGTGAAAGTACTCTTTCTTATTGTTGTTTTTTACAAAATTGCTTTCTGTTTTCTTAAGGAAACCATACAGACTAAACACAATATTTGAACTTAATAAATATACGGCAAACTAGAGAGAGAGAGTTACCAAGAGAGAAAGACAGGGATAAAGAACACACACGCGCGCACGCGCGCGCACACACACACTCTTGAGCCACGATACCTCCTTTAGATGTCAAGTAAGAAAGATATTGGCAGTGATAGAAGCTGGAAACTGTGTTGCATGGAAGCACGCACTGGAAAGGCCACAGAGTAAGAATCAACAGAATTAATCCATATTGTGCCGCCTGGGAGATTCTTGTTAAAATAAGAGGTTAAAATACTTGTAAAATATATCCTAGTGCATTTTCTGTCCCCTTTCCTCATCAAAATATTTGTGGCTATTATTTTTCAAAAGGGAGAAAAATCATTACCAATAACCAAACTAATTGATTTTCATTGAATATCCAGTGTGTAATAACTTGGGTTAGCTTATGAGTATTTTGAACCACTAGGTGTCCCTGTAAGCAAGTGATTGAATAATTTTTAAAAATCAGCAAGCCTTGGAAAGTTTGACCGACATGATCAGTGAACTTGAGCTAATGTATGTAAAACACCAGGTCCCCGATCTAGACGGCACACTGTTCTCAAGTACACATTGGCAACATGCTGAGCTTGAAACCGATCTCAGTAATTTCAAAGACTTGACCTCATCCAGAATACATTCTCTAATGATAGTCTGAGATTGTCAGACATCAATAACAAACAATAACTAGAAAATTATTCTTACATTTGACATTTAAATCTCAATATGCATATTTCTATATTAATAACAGTTCAAAGAAAAAAATAAAAAATGTAATAAATATTTTGATTTGTTTTTTCTTGTTTATTTTTCTTTTCTTTTCTTTTCTTTTTTTTTTTTTTTGAGAGGGGGGTCTCACTCTGTCGTGCAGGCTGGAGTGCAATGGCTCAATCTCAGCTCACTGCAACCTCCACCTCCTGGCTTCAAGCAATTCTCATGCCTCAGCCTCCTGGGTAGCTGGGGTTACAGGCACCCGCCACCATGTCTGGCTAATTTTTGTATTTTAGTGGAGATGGGGTTTCACCATGTTGGCCAGGCTTGTCTGGAACTCCTGACCTCAAGTGAACCTCCTGCCTTGGCCTCCCAAAGTGCTAAGATTACAGGCATGAGCCAACGTGCCCAGCCAATATTTTGATTTGTTAATGAAAATTTCTAGTTAAAAACTTCTGTGTGCCAGGCATGATGGCTTGTGCCTGTAATTGCAACACTTTGGGAGGCCAAGATGGGAGGGTCACTTACAGCCAGGAGTTTGAAACCAGCCTGGGCAAAAAAGTGAGACTCCGTTTCTACAAAAATTAAAATTGAAATCCTCAGGCATGGTGGTGCACACCTGTAGTCCCAGCTACTCGGGAGGCTGAGGTGGGAGGATCACTTGAACTGAGGAGTTGGAAGCTGCAGGGAGCCGTGATTGCACACCACTGCACTCCAGCCCGGGCGACAAAGAGAGACCTTGTCTCAAACAAATAAACAAAAAACAAACTTCTGTGGTTTTGCAGGACATCAGCCAGATGACACAGTGAGAAACATCAGCCTTTTCCCTCTGCAAAAATAAAAATCAGACAACTCTCTGCAAATAAACATAGCCCGGGGAGGGCTCAAAAGTCCAATTAAGAAAGGGGAGCCATACATCTAACAATAAAAGGAAAATAACTGCGTACAAAATATTATTGGAGAGGTCTACAAACTTGAGCTGTCTGGAGACAGCTAGGAACAAGAAGAGGGAGGCTATCAATATCAGACAGACAGTGGGTACCACCTTGATCCTGAATGGTCTGCCCCACAGAAGAATCTGGCAGCCTTTTCTACTGAAGATCTTAACAGCTCAGTGGCAGCTGAAGACTCCCTGCATCTTTCACGCAGAGGACTCCCTAGAGTTTATGAGCACAAACCCAGTGGCCTGCCCCACAGAGAATTCCAGGCATTTTGCTACCGAGCTAAACCAACGGCCATTGCTGCCACAGGAACCTTGGAGAGGAAAACACTGCATATTATCCCTCTACAAAGAAGGAGAAACTGTTGTGCTGCCACAGAAATGGGACTGTCACCCCACCCAAACTCATGCAGGCCCTGTACCCTTGCACTGCATTCAATCTGTATATGCCTGCACCCTGGACTTCACTCAGCTCTGCAACCATTCTATGTGTATCTGTGCATCGACCAGTGGAGTTCCTACCATGGATGGCTAGCCCACATTCCAGACCCCAGAGTCACTGCAGCTCTGTACATGCCCAAGTTCCAAACCCAGCTCCCTGCCTGCTACATGGTACCCACTCCTCTCACACCAATACCAATGCTGCAGCTGAGTGCCTGTGCTCCAAGCACTGGTGCCAACACTGCCCAGGACCCTGGAGTCAAAGTCCTCCATCCATGCCAATGCTTCAGGCCCCATCTCTGTGGCTGATCCATGGGTAATATGCATCCGACACCAGCAGCACCACCATTGCAAGTGTGCTTGCAAGCCAGACCCAGTACCAAGAGACACACCCTTGGCCATGCTTCCATCATGGGAAAAAAAGAGTTTAGGAGGACTCCAGAATCACTTGCCACTGAATACCCCAACAATTCTTGCTGCCACTATGGACATCTGCAGCCTCAGCCATTGAGGACGTTTGCCATCTTTACTCATGCTGACCTCACCTTATCATGCTGCGTAGAAACTATACACCTGTGCCCTCACTGGAATGAGAACTAATGCACCCCACACAGCTGGTGCACTCACATCTCCTGTAGGTGTCTCACCCCACTGAAACCAGTCCTCAAAACCTAGAGGTAGTAACTGCACTATGAAATGAGAAGACATCAACTCTTTTTTCCATGGCTGATTTTACTCTGTATCCTTTCACTGGGACAAATTTTAACTATGAACATAACAGCTTTTCTGAGTTCTGTGAGTTCTTGTAGCAATCATTTAACCTGAGGGTGGTCTTGGGGACCCTCAAATACAGGTAGTTTTTTTGTACATGTGTCCTCAGATGAATACTTGGTGGGAACCTTCTGGAAATTTCTGGCTTTGTCTTCTGTGCAGCTGTCTCCTTTCTGATACTCTCCCACATGAGTTATAGTCCTCTTAGTCTCCTAAGACTAAGTTCCATATCCCCAAATCTGGTAGTCTGCCATCCTACACTTGCGTTACCCCTGCCTGCACCATGGTTTGGGAACTCAAGCAGTAAAAGAGGAAAATTATAGGGATTATAGCATTTGTTTCTTGTCGCTCAGGGAATCATAGTTATTCAGTGCCTGTTACAGGATAGATTTTTGTCTGCTCAAAAAAGTTTGTCATTCTAACTCCCAGAATGTAATCTTATTTAGAGATCTATCTTTACAGAGTTAATCAAGATACAATGAGGGTAGGCTCCACTGCATTATGACTGATGTCCTTATAAAAAAGAAAAATTTGGATACAGAGACAGACACACATAGAAGAAAGATTAATTCAACAGACAGAGGAGAAGAGGACAACCATCTAAAAGCCAAGGAGAGAGATTGAGAACAAATGCTTCCCTCACAGGTGCCATCGACACCGCCAGGATCTAGATTTCAGACTTCTAGCATCTGCACCTGGGAGATAATACATGTATGATGTTTAAGGCACCCAATTTGTGTTCCTTTGTTATGGCAGCCCTAGCAAACTAATACAGTGCCTGAGGTCCAGTGTCTGAAACCATTATTTTATATTTTTCTCTGCTTATTTTCTTGTTTAACATGAGAGGGTCCTATTGTCCGCACGTTTGTGTCTCCCAAAATTTATATGTTGAAACATAATCAACATATGAATGTGATGGCATTGGGAGGTGGGGCTTTTGAGAGGTGACTAGGTCATGAGAGAAGAGCCCTCAGGACTAGTGCTTTTTAAAAAGAGGCCCCAGAGAGCTGCCTTGCCCCTTCCACCATGTGTGGACACAGCTAGATAGCACCTGTGGACCAGAAAGCTGGCCCTCATCAGTCACCCAGATTAAACTGGTAAGAAACATGATGGTATCAATAAAAGTTTATCAGAAAATAGTATGTCATTCTAGAGGAATATACCATCATTTTAGACTTCAAGTTATTAATAAAAATAATTTGCCAGTTATGATTAATAGCACATAATGACAATTAGTCAGAAAAGAAAATACAATATCAGGAATAGAATACAAGTAGTTGTGGAAGCCTAAGGTGACTTTTACTCATCCTCTTTTCTATAA